TTTAAAAAGCAATCTCAGATCTAACAATGTCAAGAATTTCTTCATATAATTCTTTCTATGATTAACATTCATCAAGCACTTAATAATGCTACCATATTTAATCGACTTTTAAAACAGAGTACTCAAATCAAGGCTAAAAAGACTCATTTAAAATAAAGAACAATTCAGACTTTAACGATCTGCCTTTCATTCTTTCTCTCATTTCCTTTCGGCTCCAAACCAAATGATATGCCGGGTGGGACAGCACTTCCCACACAGTTCAGAGGGAAAAGTGAATCCTGTATGTTTAATGCCAAGAAGGTCCATATAACTGTAAACGTGAACTTTTTATCTACTTGCCAATCACCCTTTTTGCACATATTCTATCATCTGTTTAACAAGCTCATTAGTGGAGAGAATTGAGAGCGTCTTCTGATGCCAAAGTGCACTGCTCTTTGCTCCAGTAAAGATTCTTATTTAGTGTAAAGATTCCATGTGTTTCCAGAGCCCCGACACCTCATGCACAGAGGTTTATGTGGCGAGATAATGGAGAGCAATAGAATGATGTGGGAGTTGCCATGAAGACTTCTCCCACCTCCAAGAGCGAGAAGACAATCACCCACTGTGTAATTGAACTGACCTGCTGACCATTTGCTATCTTTGACCCCTACACACAAGCTGATTCCCATTTCACAACAGGGGACAAAAATGGCTATTGTGCGCCGCGGCTACAGTTTTCACTGCGAGCATATGAGGACCGTATCTGAAGTGCGGAGGTGGAATATCAGCGTGAAGCACAAAGATTCATCAGGCTGGAGTGGCACCTCTCAGAGTCTCGGTCTTCAGAGGAGGCTATTTTTGATGAGCGCAGCTTTGAGAATTCATGCAGTATAGAGGAATTATTTTTACAGATGGGAGAGGGGGTGACTATTACACCGCTGGGACTATTTGACTGGAATGGGCTCAAAAGTACTCTGACAAATAACATTGTGTCTTCACACTCTGCCAGCAACATGCTCAATATGTAGCTCCAGTAAGAAAAGGTCACATCAGTAAGAAAGGCTACGTTATTGAGTCAGACCTGTTATGGACATAATTAACGAACAAAAGGAAAAGTCAGGTCTAAGTCGATGTTAACCTTGTCAATGCAATTGCTGACAAAAATGTTCTTTAAAGTTTTTTCGTCAATCAAAAGGTCTATGAGATGAAAAATGGGCATTAATTGTGATAATTAAACATTTTTAATTAAAAAAAATATGTAAAAAATGTGAGAAAACAACTGTACAATAAATTATTGATGCATTTAAAAGATGCATTTGAAAAAAAAAAAAAGATTAAATAATCCAATTATAATCAGTGATGGGGATTTAACCACTGAGCTGCATGAGGTAAAGTTGAACAATGAATGATCATCGGCAAACTGAAGCACTTTGCACACTAAAACATGTCCTGCTGAAACATGTTTAACTTAATATAAAATGTTTTAAAAGGTGGTTTAATTTTGCATAGTTTGTCAACTAAAATGGAAAAGTACATGACAATAAAGTATCGAGAGAAAAAAAAAGATGAAAAAAAGAAGAAAAAATGTAAAAATGAGCACTGGTACTAATTATGGATGGATGTCACATCCAGTATTTATACAAAGGAAAAAGAAAATAACAGATAATATGATATTAGATAAAAAGCTTATATTATTTCAGTTGCTAGTTGAAAATATTTGTAACATTTTTACATTTTTATTAGGTTAAAAGGCTAAAATTACTAAAACTGAAATAAAAGTTAAACAGAAATAAAAAAAAAAAAAGTGACTAAAATTACTGAAACGTAAAATGAAATTAAAAACTGAAAACATACAAATGTGTCTTGAATTAACTTTAAAATACGTAAGATAAAAAACAGCTAATTCAAAATATTTATAACTAACACAATAAAGGATACTAAAATAAAACGGTTCAAATTTCAAACTTCTGTAGGGGCTTTTACAAGCCAACCCACTGCCACTGAGATGAATGAGAATGCTAACGGATAGTTTTCTTCAGGTATTATAGACCTCCTTGGTTAGGACCGCTGCAGTTCTCTGCCAGTGACCACCTTGAGACCGCAGACGTTCTCTGTGGTATTTAATTCCACATCCACTAGACTCAGCTGGAATCAAAGAACAAAGTGCTGAACATAGTGGATAAATGATATTAAGGAAAACCACAGGTACCCAATTCAAACAGGTATCCAAGCTGCAATTCCAAAATATTTGGATGTGTTTGAAGTTCAAGTTACCATCCTGTATTTTGCTGTTGGAGCATAATTAAAACCAGTGGCACGGCAAAAAATGTCCTCAAAAAGTCATCACTTACACTATATAAATAATACTTTCAATGCCATGCATAAAAAATGAGACCGCAAATGGAAATGGATTCTCAGCTCTGTGGATTCGTGAGCAAAGCAATTGAAACCAGTAATGAAATGTACGTCTGTCTGCCTCAACTTTCTTCCACGTTCCTCTCAGGGTCAAAATCCATCGAGCTACAAATCAGGCTAAAGATGTTTGACAGAATGACAAGGCGTCGTTCCCGAGATTCGTCATATAGAAACAGTGGCATGTATTGATCAACGGCTCTAAATGCTGTTTGACTGATGCATAATTTATCAGTTTGCACAATAGGAAATGCAGAACCATCTCATTTCTTGACGCCAGCCCAGTAAAATTGGAGCTGCTCTCAGTGGAGATTACAGTGGTGAAACAAAGGAAAGAAAAACAAGCCACTCTGAGGCACAGCGAGCGCTTCCCTTTTCACAAGTAAAGGAAACGACACTGCAGGTGGACATGGGTTTAATTACCCTGAAAATCACACAGCACTCCCTGCACTGAAGCTTATGCCCTGTGACAATGATGCGAGAGCTCCAAATCTGGGTGCCAAGGCCAACGGCAGAGAGAAAAAGCATATTCATCTCTTTGCAGGGTTAAAGGAGGAAACCTTGCTGCAAATATCTTCCCCCCATCGGGATTCAATACCTGAGCAAAGTCACTCCAAGGTGATATCTGGCTGAATTGGACATTGGGTGTCTCTTGACTGTTCATTATTAATTCAGTCTCTGGCTCATGGGTGTCACAGTATCATTTCAAAGGCCGAAATGAGAAATTGAAGAGCAAGGGGAGTAATACTGCAGCTTTGCTTTCTAACCTTCCTTCTGCCTGTCAATATAACCACTCAAATGATGAGGGTCACCAGCAAGCCCTTCCTGCGCTGTGACAGCAAATGCCTTTGGGTACAGAAACCTTGGTTAATAAGAAGCTAATGTCAAAAGAAATTCTGCATACACAGAGGGTTCATTTGCTAATTCTTATGTGATGGAGATGACTAGTCATGAAGAGAAATGCCTAGGTCATTGTTAAAAGTCTGGCCAAAATAGTTCTTTATTAAAAAAAATCAAATAAAATACTGCAAATATTATGTGCTGTTTTACTAATGTTTATTAAAGTCTCTTATACTCACCAAAGCTGCATTTATTTAACCAGAAATACAGTAAAAATAGTAACATTGTGAAATACTGCTACAACTTACTATTTTATATATTTTAAAAATAAATTTATTCAAAGCCAATTTTTTGCCGGCCATTATTCCAGTCTTCAGTCAAACGATCCTTCCTAAATCATTCTTATATGCTTATTTGATGCTTACAAAACATGTATTCTTACTGTCAGTGTTGAAATGTTGACAATGTTATTGTCACTTTCAATCAGTTTAATGCAGACTTGCTGAGTAATAGTAATAATTTCCATAAAGCAATCTTACTGATACTGACCCTAAACTTTTGAACGATATTGAAACGGGTGTAATTGAATGAATGAATGAATGAATGATGTATTTATATAGTGCTTTATTATTGTGTATTGTTGTACACCCAAAGCGCTTTACAATCATGTGGGGGGGGGGGGGTCTCTCCTCAACCACCACCAGTAATTACTATGAACTGGCTCAAAACCCTAAAATAAAGTAAAGTAAAATCAAATCAAATCAAATAAACTGCTGACAGTTTAGCTTAAAATTATTTCAATTATTCAAAACAAGACACTTTTCATTCCATGTTCATTTTATGTTGGATAATAGTTACATGAACACAAATTGAATTCTATTCGTAGAAAATGTCTCTTGAGGAAAATTCAGGAGAGGTAAAGATAAAACCAATTTCTCTGAGCACTGAAGAACTTCTCAAGAAAACAGAAAATTGCTCTAAATGACTTAGACATGGAGTTCATAGACTTTCATCATCTTTGAAATTTAACTAGGAAAAAAATGAAAAGAAAAAAAGAAAATCAAAAGAAGCAAATCTTTGTGTTTCCATAAGCAAAAATAAATAAATTTGACCACAAGTTCAAATATGAGTCACTCTCTTGATGTCTTAACAAAGCAATTAAACTTAAAACGAAACATAATAATGTTTAAAGAAGGATTAGTTGATTGTATCACTAAAAATTACAGCAGAGGGGCAGCAGTAAAAGCACAGCTTGTTGTGATCTATTCTGAGCCGTGAAGCTATTTTTTGTTTATTCAGGGCTGACAATATGTTGTGTGCTCTGAGACATGGCCTCAAATGCAGCCCTTTTATCTACATCATTTTTTAAGGGATGCCAAGGTGGTTGGCACCGCAGAGTGCTGTAGGGGACCCGCTGCAACAGCTGTCCTCACAAAAATAAATGTTCCAAGCAGAGGCACATCTTTGACATTGGGACAAACAGCGTTCTCCTAGATGCGGCCACTCTACAATTCATCATGAAAACATATCACCAAGAATCACAGCAGTGTTTGTGGGAAGCCTCAGGCTATAATGCCTACTGAACAGAGAGAAAAGCATTAATTTAGTATGGGCCTGCAGTGATAAGAGGATGAGAATAGGGCGATATTGTTCATCAGCAGATCCATAAACTCCATCCACACACCTGCCCATCACTGCAATCTATAAAGTCTTATTAAAGGCTATGGTACAGCGAGGCTGATAAAAGGTCAGGGTCACTGCTGTAATATCTGTCTGCTCTGCTTTAAGGTTTTGTGCTCACTGTCAAATGGCACACAGACAACACAATACATTGTTAAAGGATTATCTCACAGAAAAATACAATTCTGTATCATAATTTACTAAATGTCATGTTGTTTCCAACATGTATGACTTACTTTCGTCCATGGACAACAAAAGTAGAATTATAAATTGAATCCATACTCATCCATTATATATACAATACAGTTTAAATGTTTGGGGTCTATTATATTAACCAAGGCTACATTTATTTGATAAAAAAAAATTGTGAATAATTACAATTTAAAATTACTGTTTTCAATGTATCATATTTTAAAATGTAATTAATTGCTGTAGCTGAATCATTAATCATTCTGTACCATTTTTCAGTCTTCAGTGTCACATGATCCTTCAGAAATCATTATTGGTGCTCAAGAAAAAATTTTTTTATTATCTACACACACAAGTATATATACATATATATATATACTTTTTCCACCATAAAACAATTAAAATTTGTTTTATTTTCATTTGTATAACCACATCTAATCCACCTTCCTTAATTTGTAAAATAGTTTTTATTTTTATATCATGTTTTCATTTTCATTTTTTTTTTTACTGAAAACTGTGGTTCATGTTTATTGATTCTTATTACACGGCTCTGTGGAATACTTGATTCAGATTCTGTGGAATCTGATTGGTCAGTCGCGACATTCCGAGGTATGCTATCCATCGATAGCAACCGGTAAAAGCTAATAACACAGGCTCATCCGGGTAACAGCAGTCGGCGCTGTACTCTTGCTTGAACAATTTTTTCTTGGTGGAAGCTTTGCGTTTGTTTAGCTAATAAAATATTAAAACTCGATTCAAAATGGTGTACAATTATTTAATTATGTCATCCTGGTATCGCGGACTCGCTCTCGTTTCATACAAACGCAGCTGCTGCCATTTTGCTACGATTGTTTTATACGCTGTAATGGATTATAAGAAAACTAACAAACTGGTAAGGTTTTAAAATATTTTCGTCTTAATTCTTTTATTGCCTTAATTATTTTTGTGGTGAAATGTTGTGTAATAAGTGGTTTGACTGCACCGTTTCCCTTAAATGTCTGTCTAGTTTGAATTTGCCGCTTGCTCGCAACTGCTGTCTTCACGGAAGCTTTGCGTTCAAATATTTAAACTCAAATCAATATTTCGCGTCTAATTATTTACTTATGTGGCAAGTAGCCGTGTAATAAGCGGGATAATGTACATCCAGCCGGTTGTTATCGGCTTCGCGTCGGGGTCCTGATCACCCTGTCGGGGTTTATTCTGAGATAACAACCGGCTGGATGTACATTATCCCTTACTTAGTTGAATAGAATGTTAAAAAAATGCCATTTATTTCAAATAGAAATATTTCTAACATAAATGTATTTACTGTCACTTTTGATCAATTTAACATCCAATTTAACACATAAAAATATTTTTAAAAAACTTTTAAACAGTAGTATATATAATATCAGTATGACAGACTCAAATGTAATCTGTTATTTGCAAAACAAAATCTTGGTTGTTTATGGGAGAAGCAGTAATGTCTGAATGTCAGTTTATCTGGTTTATCTGGTTCACCAAACATGTCTTTATGATTCATTCATAAATTACACTGATCCACTTCTTCAATTTAACTCATTGACTCTGATCTGGTCGCAAGTGGTTAACAGCTCACTGGAGGGGAAGATTATCAGTGAATAATTACTTAAATTTCAGTCTGTTTGGCACAAAATGCTATTGTTACAGCTATTAGTAGTGCATCATCTTGAAAACCATTCATTTTAATTTTACAGAAGTGGGAAAAAACATCATGATCAAGCTTTCAAGTTTGTATGTTCCATGGAAGAAAGAACATCATTCAAGTTTATTATGACGTGAAGATAAATAAGAACAAAAGGAATTTGAGGTGAACTATCCTTTCAACAGTGTTCCACCATGAAGAATAAACGTTTGATTTCATTTCACTGAATGTTTGCTTCATTTATCATACTAATTATTTACTTTGTAGCTGTTCTTCATCATCCCTTGTCACAGAGTAATCAAGCACACATCATCCCTTGTCACAGAGTAATCAAGCACAATTGAATTACAATATATGAAAAGTGTTACTAATTCTAAAACCGATCATGCCCTGCTTCATGACTCACTGAAAGAAATGTCAATGAGTCATACTTAGCCAAAGGCAATTTGTATGCAAATTGACTCTCGGTTTGATATGATAAAAAAAAAAATAAGTACAAAGTCACAGGTACAACATGGATGGCTTTCAACAAAAACAAACTCCTGAGGCAGTGATCCTTCAGGTAGAGCTGATTAAATTACAGCCACCTCATGGCTGAGCAAAGTGACTCGCAACTAGGTCGAGCGACCCATCAGAAACACATAAAACAGTGTGACACAGCTACATTGTGACTTGGAAGGGTACTCCATCACTCCATGTCGAAAGATTAATGGTGGAGAATGTCACAGGGAATAAGGTCATGCACTGAGAGACCTGGCGTTAGGGAGGCCACCGCCATGTCTGCAGTCTGCTTTCCAGCTCATCGTAGCTCCAACAGCGACCTTGTGGTAGCAACGAGTTCATACCCAAATCTTTGCAATCAAATCATTCAATTACCGTTGTCAGAACCACACAACATGAACAGCAGAGTGCTAATAGGTAACTGTGCCATTCTTCAGAGTTTCAGCCCTCATGTTTAGACATTGTTTGAAGCTCTAAATGAATGAGTTTGGTCACAAGAGGGGGACAATATGTTACCTTGAGCAGAACCGTACGCTGCATGTAGAGCACGGCATCTGAAGCTCATTAAGAGGCTTAGTGGTCCCATCAAAAAGCAATATGCCATTAGACTCACTACACTGAGCTTCCATTTGTGGACACTGAAGATCTACAACAATGGACCCAAACATGCTCAATACAGCCGCCCTCAATTATTTGTCTGTTCTACATAATGAATTTGTCTTTCAAAAGTGCAGGAGCGGATTTCCTTTTAATATAATCATAGGAGAATGTGTGTAAGGAGTTATTTTTTGGGGAGTAGGTGGTGAGGAAGAGACAAATGTGATTAGCTGAATCTCTCAGGCCCATAAATCATAGCAATCATAACCTTCTCGGGTCACAGAGTAAGAGAGACAGGTACAGATTTGTGTTCAAGTTTCGGCTTTATTACTTTCTTGGCACGGCAAGCTTATTCACATTAGGGATGCTCCAATCGATCGGCCGGAGATCGGTATCGGCCGATAATCACATTTTATGACTCGATCGGTTCTCACTACACTTGGCTGATCTCACGAACCAATCGCACTAACAGCGCCGTGTTGTATAAGTCCTGTGCATGCGCAGCCGGTCTAGTCAATGCTTGTGTTTATACCAGCCAGCCACGGCACGTTTCTGAGGCGGCTCTCCGCGCTGATTGGCTAAAAATAGCCTTTTGTGAGTTGTCACAGCGTGGAGGATGGAACAAAACCTCGTTGGAGCCGTAAGGGATAATGGTAACATAATAGCTACGCTGATCGTGGGCTGCTTTTAAATGAACATTCATTTATAAAACAAAATATCTTCTTTGAAGCATCAGGGTAATAAAAAATGCATTCTGATTATTTGCGGGTGGGTTGCGGTTGGTGGATAAAATAAATCATAAATGATGCAAATATTAACTACATTTTTTTTTAAATAATTTTTTTTCATGAGGCAGACGATTTTGTGTATGTGTGTGCGTGTGTGTGTGTGTTCATTCGCCTGATCGGGAAATTGCAGTGACAGAAACGGTAACATTCCAGATAAAGTTTGAAAGGAGTAAAGCCTGTGTTAATGCTATTGAGTAGGCTAATATGGCCAAAGAAGATATTTTGTTTTATAAATGAATGTTCATTTAAAAGCAGCCCACGATCAGCGTAGCTATTATGTTACCGTTATCCCTTACGGCTCCGAC